CCCCCCCCGCCCTGCCCGGCCTCACCTACGGACACCTGAGCACAGTCCTCATCAGCCCGAAGCCCTGGGGAGCCTCCGAGCCTGGCCTCACCCCTCTGCCCTGTCCCAGCCCGTCCCCTCCTCATTGCCCCTGAGGCCCCTTCTCCTCACCCTGAGCCAGTATGGTGGAGCGATCAAATCTGTGGAGCGATTGTGCTGCTTGTCTGCTCCATCCCCTGGGTCACGGTTGGGAGCTCCCTGGCAGCACACCCCCGTGCAGCACCTCCCTCCCTGGGGCAGGAGCAGGCAGACAAGAGGTTATGCACGCACCAGCTGACATGCGCTCCCCTGCGGCTCCCCCTCTCCCCACACAGCAAAGCCACATCAGCATTTCGTCCATCCTCAGCCTGTGTCCTGGGGGAGACCCTGCACCCTGGGATGTGTCCCAGGCCCCTGGCAGGGTGGGGCTGGGCTGTGCCAGGCCTGGGAGAGCCCCGCACTGGGAAGGCCTGTGCTCTATCTTTCAGCCAGTGACTTCGGGCTGTTCCTCTCGGATGAGGACCCAAAGAAAGGCATCTGGCTGGAGGCTGGGAAGGCACTGGACTACTACATGCTGCGCAACGGGGTGAGTGCCTGGGCCCTGCCCCCACCCCACTCCATGCAGAGGGGCAGTGGCACCCCCTCCTCCCCCCTGCCCCAGCTCTGGGCTGCCCTTGTCCTCTGCCAGGCCCACCTCCTCATCCCTCACGCTCCTTAGTGACGGTTCCCTGGGGGGGGCGGGGGGCCAGCTCTGAGCCAAGCCCCTGCTGTGCCTGCAGGACACCATGGAGTACAAGAAGAAGCAGCGGCCCCTAAAGATCCGCATGCTGGATGGCACTGTGAAGACTGTCATGGTGGATGACTCCAAGACCGTCACCGACATGCTCATGACCATCTGTGCCAGGATTGGTGAGGGCATGATGGGCTGGGAGGGGAGGGCAGTACCTGGCTGTGGGTGCCAGGGGCAGGACAGGAGGCTCTGATGCCCTCCGCCCCCACAGGCATCACTAACTACGATGAGTATTCGCTGGTGCGGGACATCATGGAGGAGAAGAAGGAGGAGATCACCGGCACCCTCAAGAAGGACAAGACCCTACTGCGTGATGAGAAGAAGATGGAGAAGCTCAAGCAGAAGCTGCACACGGATGACGAGCGTGAGTGCCCGGACCAGGCAGGGGGGTCCAGGGTGAGGGTGTGGGGAGGCCTGTCCCTGGGCAGGTGCTTGTCCCACCTCCCTTGGTGCCCCGGCAGTGTTCTGAGCATCCCCTGGTTCCTGGGCCATGCCTGGCTGACCCCAGCACTTCCTGCAGTGAACTGGCTGGACCATGGGCGCACGCTGAGGGAGCAGGGCGTCGATGACAGCGAGACTCTGCTGCTTCGACGCAAGTTCTTTTACTCAGACCAGAATGTGGACTCCCGCGACCCCGTGCAGCTCAACCTGCTCTATGTGCAGGTACCACCCCCCCGCCACCCCTCTGCTGGGGCCCTGTGCCCCTCACCACGGCCTGCCTGCAGAGACAGCGCTCAGCTGCAACCCTGGCACTGGGCTCCCCAGGTCCGGGTCTGGCCTTCCCCGTGCCTGCCAGGGAACCTCTCCTGCCCTGGCCGGAGGTCAGAGCAGCCCCCAGCCCGGGCTCAGCCCTTGCACTGCTGTGCTGCTGCTCTGAGCGCAACCAGTCCCATCTCCAACACTCCTGCAGTTGGCCCCTGGGCCACCAGAAAGGGCAAGTACGGTGAGTGGGAGGGTGTTCCCAGCTTTCAGGCCTGTTCTGGTCCCCCCTGTCTAGGTGGCTCATACCTAGGCATCCCCCACCTGCTGCCCTGGGCTAGGGCAGCCCACACACTTATCTTGCCATGTGAGGACTGGCCCTGGCCACACGTGCGGAGCGTCTGCAGAGCAGCTCAGCCCAGGCACCCCTTGCCCTCCTTGTCAGGCTCCAAAGCCTGGAGGGTCCTTCCCAGAGAGGCTGGGGGGTAGCAGGCTCTGTGATGTGCTCGGTGCTGTCACCACAGAGCCCTGTGGCCAGGCTGCCTCTGCCTGGCTGGGACACAGACCCTGCCCTGCAGGGCCTCACTCACCCTCTGCTGCCTCCAGGCCCGAGACGACATCCTTAACGGCTCACACCCCGTCTCCTTCGACAAGGCCTGCGAGTTCGCCGGGTACCAGTGCCAGATCCAGTTTGGGTCCCACAACGAGCAGAAGCACAAGCCGGGTTTCCTGGAGTGAGTGCCTGGAGCTGGCCTCTGGCCAGCCCAGCAGTGTGGGGCTGGGGGGCAAGGGGGCTCCTGAGCACCACCCTGGCCCAGTGCCCTTGAGTGCCTGCCAGGGCAGGGAGCACATGCCTGCTTCCTCAGGAGCATCTGTGCACCCCAGGTGCAGGCCTGGTGTGGCCTAACCGGTGAGGGTACCTGTGAGGGCACGTACCCAGGGCTGTTGGCTTGTACCAGAGGCTGCTGCTTAAGGGACCCTGCACTGCCCGTGGCCACTGCAGGTGTCTGTTCCCTCGCACCCATGTTGCCTCAGCCCCGGCCTTGCAGGGCCAGGACACCCTGGGGCTTATGCCAGCCCTAGTAGTGATGGCCTGCCCCATGCTTTCTGCAGCCTGAAGGACTTCCTGCCCAAGGAGTACATCAAGCAGAAGGGAGAGCGCAAGATCTTCATGGTGAGTCTGCAGGGCAGGAGAGCAGAGTGCCTGGCCCTGGGGCCCCACCTGCCAAGCTGCAGCTGAGGGCCACAAGAGCTGGCAGCCCTGGGCACACGTGCTGTGCTACAGTGGGTCATGGCTGAGGCTGGGTGGAGGCCTGGTGGAAGGTGGGGGCCCGAAAAGGGTGTGGGAGCAGGTGGGCCATGGCAGGCCGGGGAGGCAGGGCAGGGAAGGCTGGAGCAGTGGGGTAGGGCAGGGTGCAGCCAGGGCTGGGGATGACGGGGCCTCTCTATCTTCGCCTTTTGCAGGCCCACAAGAACTGCAACAGCATGAGTGAGATTGAGGCTAAAGTGCGTTATGTGAAACTCGCCCGGTCCCTGAAAACCTATGGGGTCTCCTTCTTCCTGGTCAAGGTACAGTAGTGGCTCCCTTGCCCCTCAGCCCTTCACCTCCCATGTCTCCCTCTCTCAACCTCTCCGTCCCTGGGGCCAGGCAGTGTTCCCCTGGGGCTGGGCTCTGGGGATCCCACTGTCCAGCGAGACCCCAGTATTCCTGCTCATGCAGGGGCTGTGCATGGGGCTGGCTCTGGGCAGCCGTGACCCCTCTGTGTCCTGGTGCAGGAGAAAATGAAGGGGAAGAACAAGCTGGTGCCACGGCTGCTGGGCATCACCAAAGAGTGTGTGATGCGGGTGGACGAGAAGACCAAGGAGGTGATTCAGGAGTGGAACCTCACCAACATCAAGCGCTGGGCTGCCTCACCCAAGAGCTTCACCCTGGTAAGGCCTCGGCTCTCAAACCCTCCTGCCCCATTTGTCCGCATGCTCTTTCCTGCCTGCCCTGCTCCCAGACCTCATCACCACGCCATCAAGCTCTGGGCAGGCTCACACAGACAGGCCCTGTCTCCTTCCCCTGGACTCATGTCTCTGACCAAGCTGTGCCTTGCACTCCCACTGCTGCCCCTCCGGCCATCCCTGGGGCATGGGAAACCCAGCAGAGCAGAGCATGCCCGGGGCATCTGGAGCATGCCGGGTGCCCAGTCCCCATGCAACACATTACTGTGGCCTTGCAGGACTTTGGGGACTACCAGGACGGGTACTACTCAGTGCAGACGACGGAGGGGGAGCAGATCGCCCAGCTGATCGCCGGCTACATTGACATCATCCTGAAGAAGGCAAGTGCTGCACCGGCTGGGAGTGTGGGGGCAGTGGAGTGGCATGCACGCTGTAAACACAGGCTGTTGGCAGAGCCCATCCAGGGCAGGTGGAGGGTTGGCAGGACTTGCTGCCTCACTCCAACATGCTTCGGCATCTCTGGGGGGGCTCCCTTGCATGGGTGGAGTGCGGGGCCTGGGCTGCCAGGAGGACAGATGCTGTGAGCTCACTCGTCTCTGTCTCTGTCCCACAGAAGAAGAGCAAGGATCACTTCGGGCTGGAGGGGGATGAGGAGTCCACCATGCTGGAAGACTCCGTGTCCCCCAAGAAGTACGGCCCTGGGCGAGCCATGGGTGGGGCACAGCAAGGCCCGGGCCTGGGAGGGTCAGCCCCGGGGGGGCCATGTGTTCCCAGGGGGGTGGAATGGGGGTTGTTCCTCAGACACCAAAAGGACCATGGGTTGAGTGACATTTGCAGCAGCTCTCAGCCAAACCTCTGGTGCGGGCAGGATGGCTGCAGTGCCCGTCCACAGGGACCTGCCAGCTGCCCCAACCCCTAAGAGGGGCCCTGTCAGGAGCCCCCTCCCCAGAGGGACACAATCCCTATGCCCAGAGCTGTGAGGGCAGGTAGGAGTGCTGCCAGGGCTGGGATGACGGAGAGCCCCATTCTCCGGGACACAGCCCCCATGCCCAGAGCTGCAAGGGCAGGTGGGAGGGAGTGCTGCCAGGGCGGGGGTGCTGAGGTGGAGGGAAGCCTCCTCCTTGGCTCACAGCCGCAGCATGCGGGGTCCCATTGCAGGTCCACGGTGCTGCAGCAGCAGTTCAACCGCGTGGGCAAGGTGGAGCACGGCTCTGTGGCGTTGCCGGCCGTCATGCGCTCAGGTGCAGGTGGCCCTGAGAGCTTCCAGGTGGGCACCATGCCACAGGCCCAGCAGCAGGTCACCAGTGGGCAGATGCACCGAGGGCACATGCCCCCCCTGGTAAGAGCTCCCTGTGCTGCTGTGGGTGCTGCCCCCAGGGCTTCTTGTGGTGCTTGTGGCCATCTTCCCCACCCGTGGCTGGGCAGAGCATGTCCCAGGGCTGTGCTTGCGCAGGTGGTCCCATGGGGCTGCCAGTGTCCCTTTCTCACAGATCCCTACCCAAGCTGCCCTGCAGCCCCAGCACCACTCATGGCAGCCCCAGGCAAGGAGGCCACACATGGGGCCCCGGACTCCTCCCTCCCAGCCCCATGTGATCTTTCCCATCCAACCTTGCAGTGGTGGCCACTGCACCCTGGGCTCTAGTGGGGCCAGCTACTGCCATGTCCAGCCCCACTAGTGCCAGTCCCTTGAGGCTGGCAGGGGAGCAGGACACGGACCCACCAGCCTCAGCCATGGATGGTACCTGTTGCTTGGGGTTGAGCTGGGCTCTCCTATGCATATGGAGGGGTTTCCCTGTGTGAGGCGGATGCCAGATGCTGCCTGGTCCCCTCCCCGTGGGCTCTGTGAAGGCAGTGCCCAGGATGCTGGGCTTTCCTGAACACTGGCCTGGGAAGGCAACCTAGCTGGACCAGGCTGTGTCCAGGCCCGTGGGATTGGGCATTGCAGGCTCCTGGTGTTCTCCCACCCCTCAATGCAGCCTGGCTCTTGTGGGATGTGTGGCTTCCCCTCTGCAGCACTATGTCCATCCATTGGCAGGTGCCTGCCCAAGCGGCATGTTGGGGTGTTGCTGTTGCCTGGTGGTGGGAGGGGGCCAGGTTGGGTGAGCGTGACAGGCACAGCCCTGCAGAACCACTAGCACCGTCTCCACCTTGTGTTGCAGACGTCGGCGCAGCAGGCCCTGACCGGTACCATCAATTCTAGCATGCAGGCGGTGCATGCGGCACAGGCCACGCTGGATGACTTTGAGACACTGCCGCCACTCGGGCAGGATGCTGTGAGTGCCGGGTGTCCATGGCCCTTTCTGGCGCTGGGGGGATTGTCTGCCTAGGTTGAGGGACGGGGCCTGAGGGAGTGACCTCTGTCCCGTGGAGCAGGTCCTGGGGAACTGGGGCTGGGGCTGAGGTGCACTGGGCCTGCAGGTTCTCTATGCTGGTTGGGGCTGGAGCATCCCTAGCTGACCCTGCTGCCCCCTTTCAGGCCTCCAAAGCCTGGCGCAAGAACAAGATGGATGAGTCGAAGCACGAGATCCACTCGCAGGTGGACGCCATCACTGCGGGCACTGCCTCCGTGGTGAACCTGACTGCAGGTGTGCAGTGCGGGGAGGGCTGCTGAGCATCCCGGCGCCCCGCCATGGGCCCCTACTTTGCTCTCTAGGACACACACTTGGAGCTGGGCAGCGACTGTTTGCCCCTTGCCCCAGCACAAACCAAGCCTCTGGGGCTGCCATCCTGCCTGGCCATGCTGTCCTTCCCCCAGGCCTTGCTGCCCCACGTTACAGTGACCTCCGCCTCTGCCCCGTGCCCCTTGCTGCCACCTTCCACTGCACAGCCAGGTTCCTGGGCCCCACCGCTGAGCTGCTTTTCTCTCTCTGGAGCATGTGGTCTAGTTGCTGACGTGGTGCTGACCCAACGTCACCCTGCACAGTGCCTCTGGCCCCACACCAGTGCTGTTAGCCCCAAGCCAGGCTGTGGGCCTGACATAGCTGCAGCCTGGTCTGAAGGTCCCTGCTGTCCCCTGGGACAGGGTTGTGCCAGCTCAGCTGGGCCTGGATGTTCCGGTCTCCCCGGGCTGCCCAGGCCAGGAGGGCACGTGGTCTGTGCCCCCTCACACCCACACACGCACTTCCCCATGCAGGGGACCCAGCTGACACGGATTACACGGCTGTGGGCTGTGCTGTCACCACCATCTCCTCCAACCTCACTGAGATGTCCAAGGGCGTCAAGCTGCTGGCCGCCCTCATGGAGGACGAGGGTGGGAATGGGCGGCAGCTCCTGCAAGCAGCCAAAAATTTGGCAAGCGCCGTCTCGGACCTGCTGAAGACCGCTCAGCCAGCCAGCGTTGAGGTGGGGGCCGGGCCATGCCGTTGGGCTGGGGAGGAGAACAGCCAGGCAGGGCAGATGCTTGCTTGGGGGCCCTGTATGGTGGGCTGGGAGGAAGACAGTGCTGGGCTGGGGTGTGATGCTAGCAGGGGGGGCATGGTGCTGGGCAGGGGAAGGTGGGGGGTGGGCACAAGGCACGGTGCCATCCTAACTACGTGTCTGCATGTGCCCGGCAGCCACGCCAGAACCTGCTGCAGGCAGCCGGCATCGTGGGCCAGACAAGCGGGGAGCTGCTGCAGCAGATCGGAGAGAGCGACACCGACCCGCGCTTCCAGGTGAGGATGCAGCTCTGGCCAGGAGATGCACTCTGGGGACAGTATCCAGACCCTCCCCATCTCGCCCTGCCCACACCTGCCCCAGCATGGGCTGGCTGGCTGGTAGGGCCCCTGTGTGGCAGCTGTGCCAGGCAGCATGGCCCTCTTGCCCATGCCAGGAACTGCCAGGACATAACACCTCTTCTCTCGTGGATCCTATATAGATCGTGGCGAGCCGGTGTGCTCGGACCCTGCCCACGTCCGACCCAAAGACGGTAACGAGGGCAGGGCGCAGTGCAGCTGCCCCCCTCTGGGCAGGGTGCTCCTCCTTTGGGCACAATCAGCTGGGTGCTGTGGCTGGAAACGGGTCCCAACCTGCTTCTCTTGTGATTTGATTCTGACTCTGAAGCTCATGCCCTCGGGTCACTGCCCAGTGCCTCCCGGCAGAACCCCCACAGCCCGTCCTGTCTTGGGCACATTCAGGGCTCAGCGCAGGGGTGTGGGCATGGGGCTCCATCCCTGCCCCTTCCCCATGCCGGCTGTGCAGACCTGCCGCCCAGACCCGAGGGCATCCGCTCCCTGCCTTCTACTGCTGCCAGGGCTGCTGCTGCCACAGGGGCAGATCTGGGTGTGATGGGGCCGGGCACTAGTGAGCCAGTGCATGTGCTCCACGGCTCCATGATTGTGGCTGGAGCTGGTGGTGGACTGGGGCTGTGTCTGCATCGGGGCCCTTGGGGCAGGGGCTGTGCTGTGGCCAGGGGTGGGGAGCGGTGTGTAGGCACAGGGCAAGCCAGGCCGCATGGCTGGCTGCAGGTGGTGGGACAGGATGCTTGGTGTGGTGCAGGCTGGTGCCAATGGGCCTGGCCCCACTTTGTCTGTGGAGTTCCTGCCCCCATCCCCCTGTACTCCAGGGCAGCTGCAGTTCTGTGCAGTGCCGGGGCGGGGGCTACCCATGTCCATGCTTACCCCGGGCCCCAGCAGTGCCCACCTTTGTGCCCGTGGCCCGGGTGAGGCGCACAGCAGGCCCGTGGTGCCTGGCAAGTGTGCAGCGAGTCGTGGCACCCCGGGGCAGGTGGTGCTGCAGGCCTGTTCAGTGCCGCCAAGCTGGTGGGAGTAGGAGGTCGGGCTCGCATTTCCCTGCTGAATATTTCAGGAGTTGCTCCTTGCTGAGCAGGCAGTGGTGGGGCAGCTGCTGCCTGTGCTGTGCTGACCCTCTCATCTGACATCCATCCTGCAGGACATGCTAATGCAGCTGGCGAAGGCAGTGGCCAGTGCCGCGGCTGCGCTCGTCCTGAAGGCCAAAAACGTGGCCCAGAAGACGGAGGACTCGGTATTGCAGACGCAGGTGATTGCGGCCGCCACGCAGTGCGCTCTCTCCACCTCCCAGCTTGTGGCCTGCACCAAGGTAAGGCCTGTGCTGATGAGCAGAATTAACCCCTCTCTCTCCATGTACTGGCCCTGCCCTGGCCTGCCGGCACAGGCAAGAGCCAGCCCCTGTCCATGGGGTTGCCTGGGGTACGTTCTGGGAGTGGGAGAGGCCAGGTGGGGGCCTCGGTTAACTCTTTCTGTGCAGAGCAGTTATAATTCTTTCTGTGCTGCAGCACAGTGTGGGAGGCAGGGGTGTTGGCCCTCTCCTTGCTGCAGTACAGGTAGGTGTCTCCAAGTTCTCTCCTCTGTGCAGGTGGTGGCTCCCACCATCAGCTCCCCAGTGTGCCAGGAGCAGCTGATTGAGGCTGGCAAGCTAGTGGCCAAGTCAGCAGAGTGCTGCGTGGAGGCCTCCCAGGCAGCCACCAATGATGAGCAACTGCTGAAGCAGGTGGGCATAGCAGCCACGGCCGTGACCCAGGCCCTGAATGACCTGCTGCAGCACATCAAGCAGCACGCCACAGGTGGGCAGCCCATCGGGCGCTACGACCAGGCCACCGACACCATCCTCAACGTCACGGAGAACATCTTTAGCTCCATGGGTGATGCAGGTGAGGTGGGGCAGGGTGCGGCGCTGTGGTGGGGGCGATGGGTGAGTGCCACAAGGCAAAATGTGGCCATCCTTGAAGGCCGTGTCTCATCCCTGCGCTGGTGCCCGGGGGTTGATGGCTCCATGTGTGGTTGTGCAAGGTATCCAGGTGGCACCAGGTCTCCTGTAGCCTGAGAGTGGGGGACAGAGCCTGTGGCAGTAGGGCACATGGCACCAGCAGTGAGGCAGTCTGGGGGCCCAATGGCAGCTGGCAGGGGGTGGGGGGAGCATCTGCCTCCTGCAGGAGGCACTGCACAGGCTGAGGGTGCTGACAGACACTCCCCCCTTTCCAGGGGAGATGGTGCGCCAGGCCCGCATCCTGGCCCAGGCCACCTCCGACCTTGTCAATGCCATCAAGGCTGATGCAGAGGGTGAGACTGACCTGGAGAACTCGCGCAAACTGCTGAGCGCTGCCAAGATCCTGGCCGATGCCACCGCCAAGATGGTGGAGGCAGCCAAGGTCTGTGGGGCAGGGGTTGAGCGGCCGTGCTGAGGCTGCAGGGAGGCATGGGGGTCTGGGGCTATGGAGGGAGCATGGAGGGCAATTGTCACTTGCTGCTGAGCAATTCAGGGGAAGCACCTGGCTCCCCTAGGGCTCGGGCACCCTACTTCCCTGTTCCCCCTGTGCTCTGCCCGTGCTGCAGGGAGCCGGGCCAGGCTCAGGAAGTGCTGGTGGGGGACTGGGCTGGTCGGTGCCACTGGGTGCATCTGTCCTGATGATATCCCATGCTGCCAGGGGGCTGCTGCCCACCCCGACAGCGAGGAGCAGCAGCAACGGCTGCGGGAGGCAGCCGAGGGGCTGCGCATGGCGACCAATGCCGCAGCCCAGAATGCCATCAAGAAGAAGCTGGTGCACAAGCTGGAGGTGAGCGGGCCAGGCTGGACTGGGAGGGCCTCATGGAGGATCACAGCGGCAGGGGCTGCCAATAGGCACAGGGGTCTGCAGGGGCAAGCAGGGCTAGGGCAGGCGCCAAGGACCCTACCTCTTCCACATAGCCATGAGCCCCCCTCTTCCACACACTGCTGTAGCTTCATGGGTCAGGATCATATTGCCCTGACCAGCAGGGCTGGTGCTGCTCTGTGGGTAGGCTTGTGCAGAGCCCATGCCTGGCCCTGAGCTGACCGGCAGGAGCCCCTGGGGGAGGGCCAGATGGAAGAGTCAGGCCCTGCTGGCTGGAAGAAGCTGCCTCAGTACTGGACATGGGCGACTGCCTCTGCCTCGTGCCCCGGAAGTGCCAGCCCCCAGACACACACCCATGGCTCAGACTTACATGCCACCTTCTCCCCAGCACGCAGCCAAGCAGGCTGCAGCCTCCGCCACGCAGACCATTGCCGCCGCGCAGCACGCTGCCTCCTTCAACAAGAACCCGGCTGTGCAGCAGCAGCTGGTGCAGAGCTGCAAGGTAAGGAAGCGGCACGTTGTCCCGGGCCCAGCCCGAGCCAGCTGCAGCTTCGACACCCTCCCCCCACCCAGCCCTCTGGCCTGCAGGGCTGCACTGTTCAGCCTCTCCTGCCCATTGGGTGGTACTGAACAGAGCCCCATCGGCCCAGACCACAAGCTCGCTTGCTAGCACCTTCGGGAGCTGTCGCTGCCCTTGCTGGGTGTAGCACAAGGAGCCTTAGGTCCCCCGCACAGGCCACAGGGGCTGCTCCAATCTCCCACAACCTCTTCCAGCCAGACGGTTCCCACTCACCGGGGCTGGTGCTAGGCAGATGTCCAAAAAACTGCAGTTACAAAATCAGGGGAAAGACAGTTTTGGGTAAAAGCCTGCCCTGGGGCAGTAGTGAAAAGGAGGCTGATGTTACAGGTGAAAAACATACATAACAGAGGAGACAGATGGAGCACAGACAGTGGCAGAAGGGGGTGCAGCAAAGGGAAAGCATCAGCCCAGAGACCTCTCCAGTGCTCTGTCTCCCATCTGGTGCCCTCCCTGTGCCTGGGAGATGTGCTTGTGCTGTGCCATGGGCTGGCCAGGTGTCTGCGGCCTGGCCCAACCCTGGCCAGCTGATCCAGGGGGTTGAACAAAGAATTGGAGGCAGAAGTGAGCTAAGAACCGGGCCCTGATCTGCACGGGTGACGCATCCCGCTGTCACGTTGCGGTGCATAATGACACACAAGTTGTGTCGGAGGAGACTAGACATAGGCGGCTGCACCTGCTGTGCGCAGCGTTGTCCCATCCTGCATGGAGCCAGGTGGAGGCAGGTGCTGGAACCATCGTTGTTTGAGCCCTGGGGAGACGGGCTGAGACCTGGTACTGAGATGCCTTCCTGGGAATCCTCGTCCAGTTGTGGAGGCTGCAGGAGGGGCCCTGGGTTTCCCGGGTGGTTCAGGTCTCCAGCGAGAGTCAGGAAATGAAGGTGCTGGCCAATGATGTGAGGCTGGCTGTGGTCTCAGCTGGTCCTGGCTCTGCCATGTGGCCACCTAGGACAACAGCATGGGGCCAGGGTCAAGCCAGTCCTGGAAGCACCACTCTGGCCTTGCCACATTTGTTGTCAGCCTGGTCTGGGGCACCCTGCTGACTCTGCCCCTGGTCTGGTTGCAGGTGGTTGCAGATCAGATCCCGATGCTGGTGCAGGGGGTGCGAGGGAGCCAGTCACAGCCGGACAGCCCCAGCGCGCAGCTGGCCCTCATTGCTGCCAGCCAAAATTTCCTGCAGGTACCTGGACTGGCGCCCCAGGGGTCCCCACAGCCACTCTGCGCACCGTATGGCAGACGGGGGTCTGAACTCTGCACCCACCCTTTACTGCTGACTGGCATCGCTCTGCACCCCTGAGACTCCTGGTCCCATCGCTGGGATGACCAGGTCGCTGGGCTCTGGGCATGCGGTGCCAGGCTCAGGGACACTGTCTTGGCATGGGACGCTGCTGCTCACTATCTTGTCCTCATGGCCTTTCTCTCGGCCCCACAGCCCGGAGGAAAGATGGTGGCTGCTGCCAAGGCCACTGTTCCCACCATCACAGACCAGGCCTCCGCCATGCAGCTCAGCCAGTGCGCCAAGAACCTGGCCGCAGCCCTCGCCGAGCTCCGCACGGCTGCCCAGAAAGTGAGACGTCCTCCTGGCCTGTGTTGTGGTGCAGGGTGGATCCCAGGGAGGGAGCCCCAGGGCCCCTGGTTTGGGGGCTGTTGCCACCCCATGTGGTCACGACCCCTCTCCTGCTGCAGGCACAGGAGGCCTGCGGGCCCCTGGAGATCGACTCGGCCCTCAGCCTCGTGCAGAGCCTGGAGCGAGACCTGCAGGAAGCCAAGGCCGCCGCCAGGGACGGCAAGCTCAAGCCTCTGCCTGGGGAGACGGTGAGGGCTGATAGGGAAGGACAGGGGGCAGGGCATGCTGGCTCCCAGGAGCGGCAGAGCTAGGGGGTATGTGGTGGGGCAGCGAGGTGGGGAAGGATGGCTGTTGACTGGGGAAATCTCCCCCTCCCCCATTGTCCTGCAGATGGAGAAGTGCGCACAGGACCTGGGGAACAGCACGAAGGCTGTCAGCTCTGCTATCGCCCACCTGCTAGGAGAGGTGGCCCAGGGCAACGAGAACTACACAGGTACAGGCAGTGCTCAATGGGATGGGGACCAGGGAAGAGATGGGCCCTTGCTGCCGCAGCGTGAGGCCCCATCTGGTGTCGCATGTCTGGCGGTCCCAGCTCTAGGAAGTTTGTCCTGGCCCTAGACAGACCGGTGGGCAGGGAGTGTTGGGTCAGTGGCCAGTCGCAATCCAGGCAAGGGGCAGGCAGCCCTGGGAGGGGCCAGTCCAGCCGTGTGCATCTAGCTGCAGGGGCAGAGCCCTGCCTCTCTGGGCAACACCCCAGCCCCTTTCAGCCCGGGGCCCTGGCCTACATCTCGCTCGCAGGGATTGCTGCGCGGGAGGTGGCTCAGGCCCTGCGCTCGCTGAGCCAGGCTGCCCGTGGCGTGGCGGCCACCACGTCGGACCCCCAGGCACAGAGTGCCATGCTGGAGTGCGCTGGCGACGTCATGGACAAGGCCAGCAACCTCATTGAGGAGGTCCGCAAGGCTGTGAGCAAGCCCGGTGACCCCGAGAGCCAGCAGCGCCTGGCCCAGGTGAGTGCAAGGGACCCCGAGAGCCAGCAGTGTCTGGCCCAAGTGAGCACAGGGCTGCAGACCCTGAGAGCCAGCAGCACCTGGCCCAGGTGAGCACAGGACTCATGGCCTGGTGATGCTGGGAGCCACTCCCCGGCCCACCCCAGTTTCTCTCCAGAGCAGCCCTGTGTCCCTGGTGAGGTTGAGCACATCCCCTGTGCCTGTGGGACTGGTGGGAGGGGCCCATGGTTTGGTTGGAGAGGGGGGCGGGCTGAGTTGGGGGCACATGTACAGATGAGTGACTGCCCCCACCCACTGTCCCGGCAGGTCGCCAAGGCTGTGTCCCAGGCCTTGAACCGCTGCGTGAACTGCCTCCCGGGGCAGCGTGATGTGGACGCCGCCATCCGCACCGTGAGCGAGGCCAGCAAGAGGCTGCTGGCCGAGTCAGTGAGTGTCACCCTGGGGCTGAGGCTGGGCCTTTCTCTGCCCTGTTCCCACGACAGCTCCTCTGATGCGTGTAGCTGACTGGGGTTTCCCAAGGTCCGGCCTAGCCCTCTGCACCAGTGTTCACTGCTCCGGGATGCTGGTGCTGGCAAGAGCCAGGCCCAACCTGGGAGGTGCTGGGGGGAAGAGCTGGGCTCATGACATCAGCTATGGTCACCCGCACCCCAGGTGCATGTAGCATGAAGCTTCCAGAACCACTGCATGACCAACGCCACCTCCACCCTGCCCCTGTGCTGGGAGCTGTGGGCAGGAGTCAGGGCCACAGTGCCCAGCGCAGCAGCATACCCTGGGCATCTGACCCTGCTGCCGTGGTGGGGGTCAGCTCGTGCACTTGTCTGGGTCTCCTGGCCTGGGCAGCACCCCTGGGGTGGCATCCAGGGCTCTGGGCTGTATGCACATGTGCAGCTGTGGCCCTGACCACCCCTTCTCTCAGTTCCCCCCCAGCAGCAAGAACTTCCAGGAGGCGCAGGGCCATCTGAACCAGGCGGCTGCCGGGCTCAACCAGTCGGCCAACGAGCTGGTGCAGGCGTCTCGCGGGACTCCCCAAGACCTGGCCAAGGCCTCTGGCAAATTTGGGCAGGATTTCAACGAGTTCCTGCAGGCAGGAGTAGAGATGGCCAGCCAGTCCCCGGTGAGCATGGTGCAGGCAGCTCGTTGCTGGGCTTGCAGCCCGGCCTGGGCATAGGGCTGAGCAATGGAGGCAGCAGGTGGGGGCTGGCGCTTGCACTGGTACCATCACCACTGCAGAGCTGGAGACCCGGCTGGCTAGCAAGATGGAGAGCGAGGAGGTGGAGGGTGGGGGGCAGCTGAGCTGCTGTGGGGGTGGGGGGGGCACAGTGCATG